TACTTCTTGCTAAAATTATTATTGAGTCCTGATTTCTTCCTTGGTTTCACTCATGCGAGCCAAGAAGAAACTCATTACAGTAAATACTCATTTGCATAAACATAAATGCACAAATAAAATCCTCAAAGCATCCATCCATTCATCCATTATCTTCAACTTGTTCAGAAGTCAGGTCGCAGGAGCAGCAGCTTGAGGGAGACCCAGACATCTCCTTCCACAGCCACCTCTTCAGGGAGGACTCCAAGGCATTCCCAGGCCAACAGAGAAACATAGTCTCTCCAGTGGGTCCTGGGTCTTCCCCGGGTTCTTCTCCTAGTTGGACATGCCCAAAGCACTTCCCTAGAGAGGCGCCCAGGGAGCAAGCTTACCAGATGCCCAAACCACCTCAACTGGCTCCTCTTGATGTGGGTATGCACGTAGACCGCCCTCTAAACAGAGAGCTTTGCTTTTCAGCTCAGCTCCCTCTTCACCACAACGGACCGGCACAGAGTCCACAATACTGCAGATGCTGCAACAATCAGTCTGTTAATCTCAAGCTCCATTCTTTCGTCCCTCATGAACAAAACCCCGACATACTTGAACTCCTCCACTTGAGGGAGAACCTCACCCTCAATCCAAAGTGTGGCGTTTCTGTTCACTCTTTTCATGCCCCTACCTGCGTTTTCTTCTTCTTCGTGTTCTGCTCCTGTGCACACCTGTCCTGAATTCCAATCATCCCAAGTGTTTCCCACTCAGCCTCATTAGTGTCTGTATATATTCTGTCCATCTTTTCACTTCTCTGGTATTGGGGTATTATTCCTTTCATGGTCTGTGTCTACTCCGCGTGTCTACACCTCTCTAAGTTTTGCTGCCCTGTCAGTGTTTTATTTATTTAATAAATTGTAAAATTACTTATTTTACTCTGAGTCTCTGTTGCCTTCCTGCACGTGGGGTCAACATGGTAATCAGCAGATCATGTCACAAAGAGAGGAATCCACTCTTTTCTGATTGAGGGCCATGGCCTCAGATTTGGAGGTGCTGATTCTCATCTGTCTCACACTCGGCTACAAACTGCTCCAGTGAGAGCTGAAGATCACGGCACGATGACGCCAACAGGACCACATCATCTGCAAAATATCAGAAAAAGAATCCTGAGGCCACAGAACTGGACTCTCTCCACCCCCTGGCTGCACCCAAAAATTCTCTCCATGAAAGTTATGAACAATATTGGGGACAATAGGCAGCCCTGGCACAGTCCAACTCCCTGATGGAAACGCAAACCAAACTCTTGCACTGCGCATCCCACACTCATGGAGCACCCTAACCCTAACCCACATGGGCATTGAAGTCCCCCAGCAGAATAAAGGAGTCCAAAGCTGGTGCACCTTCCAGCACCCCAGCTAAGGACTCCAAGAAGGCCAGATACTCTGAATTGCCATTTGGTTTTTAGCACAAACAGTCAGAGCCTGTCCCCCCACCTGAAGGCACAGGGAAGCTACTCTCTCATCCATCAGGAAAACTCCAAGACACAGGCACCACGTCAGGGGGCTAAGAGTAGATCCACATCAGTTGGCGCCTCTCAACATGGGCAACTCCAAAGTGGAATAAGGTCGAGCAGCCCCTCTCAAGGAGACTGGTTTTGGAGCCCAAGCTGTGTGTCGAGTTGAGCCCAACTATATCTAATCGGTAACTCTCATGCACAATCTCAGTCTCCTTCCACACCAGAGAAGTTATGTTCCATGTCCCACGAGCCAGCTTTGGTAAGCCTGGGTCAGTGCACCAGGGCCCCTGACTTTGACCACTGCCCATATGGCGTCACATGCCCGACTCGTATGGCCCATCCTGTAGGTGGTTGGCCTACAGGAAGCCAAACCCATATTGTTCATTCAGGCTGATCCCATCTGGGCCCCATGGGTAGATATCTGGTCACCAGGTGCTCACCAATGAGCCCCTCCCACTGGCCTGACTCCAGGGTGGGGCCCTGGTAACCCACGTCCAGACAAGAGTCACTGAGTTCCTTTCGGTTTTCTGCACCCGCTTCGAATGTTATCAGCCATTAAATGGCAGTTATTAGTAGTTATCCTCATATGTAGCGGTCAGACTGCCCCTCCTGTACCTCCTAGTGGGTTTAAAGGTACGTTGTTAGCAATGATAATAGGCTCTGTTTTTAGTTGTGTCACCGCTCATAATAGCTTAACACGGTTAGGTTTAGAGTAAAGGGTCTGGTGGTTAGGTTTAGGGTCTTGGTTAGGTTTAGGCACAAGGGTAAGGGGGTTAAGTTTAGGGTCACGTGTAAGCTTACGTTTAGGAAAACAGTTACATAAGCTGAAAAAAACAAAAACCCACTTCCTGGTTTACCCCAGTGTGCCGTTGCCCATTATCAGCAATAATAACGATAATAACATACCTTTTAAACCTACTAGGAGGTAGGTGGGGCAGTCTCACCTCTACATATGTGGATAATGACCAATAACGGCCATTTCATGGGCTGATAACATCCGAAGCTCCTCTTTTCTGTCCACATAAGCCTGTCATATAGGACTAATCTGTCTTGGGAGAACTCACCCCTGACAGCAGAACTCCTAGAACCATTCAGGCTCACAAACTCCTCCACCATGATAAGGTGGCAATTCAAGGAGACCCTCAAAGCAATTCCATTCAAAATACACAACAGTTAAGGATACAGCCACCAATTTTATTGTAGATGAAGCTAAAAAAAGAAAGTCTTTAAGTATGATTAGTGTTGTGATTCAACTTTCTGAAAAGCACCCCTTTTCTGCTGAAACCTATAAAGCTGGACATGAGTATAGTGTGTGTGTGTTTGTGGTGTAATGAGGAAAATGTGTTTGTAAAGGAAACTCATTCACTCCAAGGCCTGAAAATGGAGAAACCACTTATCTCTGACGTCTGAGAGTTAAAGAGGCTGACACACTGAAGGCCACCGACACAACACACTGATTTGTTCACCGCCTGCTGACCTGTGCGCTCACTCATTTCATCAGTAATTTTCCATCATCGCATAAAACGGACCTGCCTAACGTTTAAACCGTTTTATTTTGCACAGAAAACTGCTCAAATTTGTCATTAATGTTTGTGTTTTTCTTACAGTTTTGCATTAGGGATGCTATTGACCGCTGGGGAGTATAAGCCGGTGGCTTGAGGCAAAGTGTTGTAGAGATTTACATGTTACATCTTACTCTTCTTGTTGAAATCAGCAGTGAGCAATGGAGGTTGCGGAAAAAAAAAAAAAAAAAAAACTACAGGCCTAGAACGGGAAATAAGACTTTGCGAATTTCCTCACAAAGAAAAAAAGTCATAATTAACATGTTCGACGGAGAGGCTGCAGTTGTCAGGGTAACTGATGACACAGCATTATCACTCGGCGCTTCTGCGCTCTGCACCCTCCCCGTTCCCTGCTATTCATCAAGCTGCTATTGAACAGCTTGTAGGGGGAGGGCAGCCCCACCTAAATTCATTTCACGCTCCTATTTATTCAAATAATTGAGTTCACTCACTTTTATTAAGCTGATATTAAACCCATCAATTCAGCGATCGTAACAGATGATTAAATATCACAATGAGGAGCTTAGGGCCAGATGCATGATTATTATTTGAACGTTGAATCAGCATTCAATCTGTTTTTTTTTTTTTGTTTATTTTGCAGCATTTCAACAATTTTGTGTCGATTTTTATTTGAACGTATATCTTCTTCTTTCGGCTGCTCCCTTCCCCAGTGGTTACCACAGGGAACTAACTGGCACAAAACTTGGCAGTTATTTTTACGCCGGATGCCCTTCCCGATGCAACAGACCACCGAGCTACCACAGCCCTCTGTGTGGAGCAGAGAGCTGCCATCTAGGGCGCCCGGTGGGGGTAAAGGGCCTTGCTCAAGGGCCCAGAGTGGGGCAAATGAGAGAAGACATTTTGATGTCTGTCTGGGGGTTGAACCAGCAACCTTCAATCACAGACTCACTTTAACTTCTGCACCACCACTCCCCCTTATTCGACCACAAAATAAATACTTTTAGCTTTTATCCAATGTTTGTTATTTTTAGATTTTAGCTAATTTGCCCACTTTTATATTTTAGTTTTTCTGATTTTACCTTTTTTATTTGTTGTTTTGCTTATTTAAGCTTGTGGGTACAGTTTGCTAATTTTATCTTTAAGATAATAGTTTGTAAATTATATATTTATGCAACTGCTTTGCTGATTTTACTTATTTAAAACTATTTGTGCTAATTTAAGCTTTTATATATTTTTGCTGGTTTTTATCTTTAAGCTATTTTCTCTTAGCATTCAAAAGGACCATAAAGGAAACAAGTATTTACACTTTCTCGTGCTTTTTGGCTAATGCTTACTAAATATGTTGCTAAAAATTAGCTAATTTAGTGAATTTTAGATTTTTAGCTACAATTGTGCAAATTTTATTTTATTGTCTTTTTGGCACTTTTTAAAATTTAATTATTATTTCTTGTCTGTTTTAACTTTAACTATTCAGTTACAAACTCTTTCTTCAACAATTAACTTTGGGAAAGTTGAGCGGGTGAAACACGGTCTCCATAAGAAATAACGCAAATTAATTAAAAGACAAGGCAAGAATCACAAAGCACACACAAATAAACCTGATTATAAACAACATATTGTAAACAAAAACAAAAGACAGATCCTCACAGTTTCAGTTGGTCATCCCAGTATGACCAACCTTCAGCCATTGAGATGGTTAATCACTTCCAGTCAGCATCGATTACGGTCGTGCACACGTGCCCGGAATTCACAGACGGGTTCAAAAATGACTCAACCAATCAGAGGGGAGCATTCTTAGCCACTTCCGGATTGGTCAGTCATTTCCAGCAGTTTGGGAAGACGAACTGGGCAAACAGCACATTATCCAATCAATGAGTGGTCCATAGGGGGGAGAGAAAGAGAGAGAGCGAGAGAGATGGAAAGAGTGCGATAGAGAGAGCGGGAGAGTGTAGAGAGAGAGTAAAGAGAGAGAGGAGCAGCAGCGCAGCTACATCCTGACTCCAACATCCTGACTCCAACATCCTGCTCTCGCTGGAAGGATTAACGTTGAAACACGTCCTCTCTCCGGTGTCTTTGTGTTCTTCCCTCGCTCGCTCTTGTTCTGGATGAGAAGAGAGCGCGAGGCTCCACGGCAGCTCCACTCCCCAGACGTGGAAATAACAATGAAAGATGTAGGTGACACATTTCCTCTCACCATGCTGCTGGAAGCACGACGGGATCCTGGCCAGGACGAGAAAGGTAAGCATCATCTGGCGCTTGAACCCGTCATGGTGGTTTTGTTTGAATAGTTGTTATTCTGCATAACGTCCATCAGGTCTGAGGATCATTTGGCGTTGCAGCATTCCGAGCGCACACTGCAGCTTGTTTATAATGAAGGCTCAGATGAACTTGAAGGCGCATGTGTGGCACTGATGTTTTACCGATTGTTATTTAGTGAAAGGACAATAAATTCTCTTCTGCATCATCATCATCGTCGTCGTCTTCCGCTCTTTGAAGGAGACAATGGTTCCACATCAGCATCCTCTCCGTGGAGCCTCTGCGTAAAAAGGGACCTGTCTGTGCCTCGTCTTACGTCGAGGTTGTTGTGCTGCAGTGTGGTCGACAGACAGAGCAGGCTCAGTCATGAAGGCTGTCCTCCCATGCATACAACACAGTGAACGCCTCAGCATAATGCAACAAAACCCTCCCATTGTGTCTTCTGTGATGATCTGAATGCAGCAGCATCCATACATGGAGCCATTAAAAATAGGATTGCATTCTTATTTTATTCCAATTCCTGCAAGTGGGCACGCAGCAGCGGAGTTAGAAGGAAACAAGACTGATCACATGCACGCATACACCCCTGGCTGCATTCAAAGCGAGCGTAAATGCCTCATGAATGCTAATGCATTGTGCAGAAACACTGCAAACTAACCGCCCCCTCCCCCTTCCCTTCTGCTCCGCTGCTTCATGCGCTCACAGGTGCTCGCCTTACCTGACTTTACTGTACGAGCGTGTGCGTTTGGGCACTCGTGCGTTTAGGTGTGTGTAGGTGCATGTTGCAGAGCATGGATGCGTTTAAAGCAGAGCAGCTACACCTGTGTCACTTCAATCTGGTGGAGGCATCAGAAAGGTGCGGTAATCTGCGCACTTGTTAGGCTGCATGAACCCCCTCACCCACAGCAAAGTGGAGCTTTATTAGAATTCAACCTGAAACGTTAGAAGTCTGTCAAAGGCACACGCTTTGTGTCATTCATGAGATTTATTCTAATACGTGCACACAACCACCCACACGTTCATGTTTTTAATCCACTACAACAATTAAACATGTTCCCCAGAACTTATTAAGGTTTGTCAAGTCAACTGCACAAAACTCAAATATTTTTTATTCCAAATCAACGAGTTTTTGGATCAACGGATCAGATATTGAATCAAATTTAAATATCAAACAGACCAAGTCTCATCTTGCGCTTACTTCTGCTTAAATATTAAGGTCATTTTTAAAGTGATATTTCCTATACACAAGTAGCTGGTATGAGATTCTGATGATAGCCGTGAACAAAGATACCACATTTTAAAATAAAAATAAAATAAATGCTTTATTTAAAATCAAAAACGCAACAACTTTTGCAGCCTAATTATTGTCACGTATGGATTAACTTTAAACAAAAGTGATAATTAGTTTTACTCAAACTTTTTTTTTTTTTTTTACAATTAATGGTTAAGATCAACAATTTATTTTAAAGTTAGGCACAAGTATTAAAAATATATATAACAAAGTTAATTTTTGCAGAGTCAGCTAAAATGCCAGAGACAACAGTCGGTTTTATTTTTTTTTTTCACATTTGTTAAGGTAAATTGTACTTATTACTTTTCTGCTTTTTGTAAATTAACACTGAGAGCATGTCAAGTTAATGTTATCCATTAGATTAATTGCTGGTTAGCCTCCGTGGCCAGCCGGCTGTAGACTAGTCAGTTCTCCACTGGATTAAATGTACGGATTAACTAGGTTTCTTTTAACCAATGTAACATTTTAATGGACTTCTGTTGGCTGTAGCACAACTCAATAACTGGAGAGCGTTGCTCAGCATTCCATGTCGTCAATAAATAAATAAATAAATAATTATCAGTCTCTCACTGGGAAGATACGACAATTATTATTCTTTTTGGTAATTTTAACATCATGACTTCCTAAAATAATGTTACCTTAAAATCAATGACCTGGCCGTGCCTTTCCACAGATTATTAGACAGTTACTGACATTTGATTCATAATCAGGTAAGATTTAGCCATTTTACTGAGTAAATTAAGATTAATTTTATCATCAAAATATGCAAAATACGAACAAAACATTGTAATTGGCCCTTAAGGGCACCCGTATGCAACTCCCTTATAGTGGAAAATACACCCCACACCTCATTTCCATTTATATTTTGTTCACCTTATCTTCATAAATGCAACTTTTTCTTGAGCCTGCATGCGTCGTTGGTTTACAGGCAGTTCTAAATTCAAAAGCATCCTAATTTATAAAAACATCCATCCGTCCATACATCATCACTACCGTACCCATTGCACCCTGTATTCACTGGTTAACTGGTCATCATTAACTTCACGCAGACTCTCACTGGGACATTTTCATCTTTAAATCACTTCTTGGTCTGCTGCCTTCATACATCTCCTCCTACACGTCACTTTCTCAGTGCAGTTACAGCGTGCGCTCTCACGACATCATTACCTGCAGTGTACCCTCAGTGTGGACCCAACTTGACAAAAGGGACTTTTCTTACTCTGCTCCTGTATCAACTTATAAAAAGATCTGACCTTTCTAAAGGGATTTTAAACAAATGGGCAGCACGGTGGCGCAGTTAGTAGAGCTACTGCCTTACAGAGCAGGTTGCCCCGGTTCAAATCCCGATCCGGGACTTTCTGGGTGCAGTTTGAGGATACTCCAGTTTCCTCCCACAGACCAAACACATACAAGTTAGACCGATTGGTAACTCTAAATTGTCTCTAGTTGTGAGTGAGAGAGTGAACGGTTGTTTGTCTTTTTCTATGGGTCTCTGATGGACTGGAGACCTGTCCAGGGTGTCCCCCACCTCTCACACAGTGATGGCTGGACATGGACACCAGCGACCCCCGTGACTCAAAATGGAAGAAGCGGGTAAAAGAATGGATGGATGGATGTTCAGTTCATGGCAAAAACCAACGCAGACATGTTCCTGTTGTATTTTACATCGTTTTTAATGTAGCTGTTTGACTCATTTTTATATAATTTATTTTATTTACTTTTCATTTTATATGCTTTTATATAATTGTCTATTGTTGTGTGTACCTCATCTGTGTTTGATGAAAACAGGTCTCTTGTAAATACAAAGTAAGTCCTCGTGACTCAATGAGACTAACATGTATAAATAAAGGTTGAATGAAAAAAAGGTTGAATGACTCCATCCATATGTTCATCCATCCATCCATCCATATGTTCATCCATCCATCCATCCATCCATATGTTCATCCATCAGGGTGTCCCCCACCTCTCACACAGTGATGGCTGGACATGGACACCGGTGACCCCCATGACTCAAAATGGAAGAAGCGTCCATCCATCCATCCATCCATCCATCCATCCATCCATCCATCCATCCATCCATTCATCCACCCATCCATCCATATGTTCATCCATCCATTCATTCATTCACCCATCCATCCATATGTTCATTCATCCACCCATCCATCCATATGTTCATCCATCCATTCATTCATTCACCCATCCATCCATATGTTCATCCATCCATTCATTCATCCATCCATATGTTCATCCATCCATTCATTCA